TGAATTAAGGTCACTATTTATTCTAACACTAGGAAAATGATTAAACAAATTGTTCACAAAAGTGAATTTCGACCACTGGAAGCAATGGCGCTAACAGTTTCGTGCTTACCGTGACTGGATAAGCGGGAAGAACTAGTTAAAATAGAAACAAAAAGAGGATTTTAAGAATAAGGGTTGCAAAATGCTCATCAGTTGCTTTTATATTTAAAATTTGGTGTAATTTTGAAATGCGCGCCTTAAGTTACGTTTCATAGTTATATGTATAGATGGCAGTGAATATTCGAAGTTTTCTTTGCTACCATTTATATATATATATTCCAAGTATGGTCTACTAATGTAGTGTATACTTAGATGTCATTAGTATCGTCAAAATCTCACGAGTTTTACATCTATTTCCTAGTCTAGGGCCACAGTAGGACATATGTAATTATCACAGTAATTATGGGTAATAGACTAAGGTTGGGTAATTGAAATTGGAATGAAAGGCTTAAATTTCTTCTTTTATTGTAGCTTAAACATAGTTACGTTACATTTAGTTATTATAATTAATGCACTAGTAAAATATTAATACTTTAAAAACTCTTAAAGCAAGCAATAATTTAAATGTAAATATTTTCTTTATTTTCCGAAGAAATCTCGAGAGGAATTGCTAATAATGAATCACCAGAGACTGTCGTATCTTCCTGTTCTTCATTAACTTGTGAAAATTTTAATTGCCTAAAAGGTTCCCTTACTTCCTCTAATGGTAAAACGTCATTTGCATGATCAGATAAAGACACCAGTTTTGTGTAAAGCTCCTTTAAGTCACTACTGGTTGAAATAGTTTTTTCAAGTAAATAACTGCAATTGGAATAGCTCTCTTTTAATTGATGTTCATTCAGGGGTTTAAATTTCAACCTTAGCTGATTAATATGGTCAGTAAAGGCATCAACTAGATCCTTAAATACCAAAATATCAGGTTTACTTAGAAACTTGCAGGTTTCTGTGGGAATTGTGAATTTCTCTTTATTATATTCTAATATATTGTTCTCATTATTTAAGTAATGTGCTAAATGCATACAGTTCTTAAACTGGTTATGCACTTCTAATATTTTGTCCAATTTTTCTTTAATAATGTTTATTTCATCATTAAATCCACTTTCAATGGTAAAAGAAGGTAAATCAGTTTTAATTTCTTCTTTTATTGTGTTGCATTTTTTTTTCAATTCAGAAATAGCTACATCAATTTCTTTTACCTTGAAAATTATTTTGCTAGCTTCTTCTTTAGCAAGCTGTACAACCTTCTCAAATTCATCCATTTTCCCTTGAGTATTTTGATTAATCTTCAGCGTAAGGGTATTTAAATTTTGTATTCTCTCCCTGGTAACAGCTGCATCTTTAGATGGTCTTATTGATAAAATAAGGCTTTCATTAATTGTAGGATCACGTTTCAAATGTTCTAGCAACACAAATTCTGACACTCTTAGCATAAATTTTACAAATTTAAATCCTCCTGGCGAAATTAAATGGGAAGGCATAATTTGAGGAATGTTTGAGTCTTCATAAGTAAGACTTATTTCGTTTAAATATTTCATTATTTCATTTCTAAACTGTGATTCCATTTTCACTTCGAAAATTGGCCATGCAGAAACTTTTTCTTTTATTTTAATTGGATCTAGAATGGATAACAAGTAATGAATAACGTGATGAAAGGCGGTTTTGTTATTTTTTAGGAACATATCCTTTTTAAACACCGATTTCAATGCATCAGAAGGTGGATATGTCAATGTTAATAAGTATATATTATTGTAAAGTTGTTGATGTAACTTCATTTCTAATTCTCTTTGTATTTGTAAAGACATTTTTTCTTAAGTACTTTGTAATTAATATTGGATTAACGTTTTCGACAATAGTTTCAATTTGAGGTTAACTGTTTAAATATATACCATAGATACATACTCTACATTTTCATTGGTTAGTTTTATTAATGTTTTGTCAACGTTGCCATGTAGAAATTTTTAAATTTTTTATTGGTTATAACAATTATATTTTTATAAATACAAAAAATATTAAGGTGGACTAAATCACGACTAATAAAACTTACCTAAGTAGAATAATTACAAAAATCAATGTTGCTAATTGTTTTCAATATCATATTAATGATTACCGTAATATATGGCAACGTTCAGTAATAAAATTCAAATTCGTTTAACCCATAGATAATGTTATTATGTTTAACCTTACTTTTCAATTTATTTTCTTCTGTTATTTGTAGATCGTAAATCAAAAAAGTTAGTTGAATTCCATTTTAATTTATTCTAATAGTTAAACAACAGTTTAGATGTTTTCGATTGAATAGGAAAATGAGTGATGAAGAAGATTTTATTTGCAAGTGTACGGCAATGCCAAAACTAACAAGCTTTATTGTGAAGAATAATAGTGAGAATAAAAGCGAATTTGGGAAAGGTAAAACAATTGCCCAGTTTTATTTATTGCAGATTTTATTGATTTTATTTACAGGAAAATATACGAAGATAAATGTCTCCTCTAAAATGCCTAAAATTAATGCAACAGGTAGTACAGAATCTATGACAAATAAGCACCACATACCACCAAACATAGAACAAACCAAGAATATTTCTAATGATAATGGAAATACGACAAATTGCTGTTCCAATAAATCAGAACAAAGTTACACTGATGGAAATACAAAATGGACCAATCATTCTTTAAATAAAGTCGATAGTTTAGCTGATAAAAGTAGTACAAATTTAAAGGAAATTGATAAAGACCTTTTTGAACAGTCTCAGAATGATTCTTTTATTGATTTATGCAACTCTACGCAATTCCTAGAACAAATCGATAAATGTGTATTAAATAGTGGTTTAATGACTCAAAATGTAATTTCAAAACCTGCAGTCACTTCTATTAGTCAGATCAACCCTCCTGCTGTAGATAAAGATGCAAATAGAAATAAAAGAAAAAGTTTTGAAAAGGAAGAGAATGTAAGTAAAGTTTTGAAGAGGAATAATGAAACTATCAGAAGTTCAAACAAAACTAATGACGATATTTGGAATGAAACCGTTGATTTCCGTGTGACGCAGTTATTTAAAAATTCCCAATATCAAACTCAAATAGCTTCATTATTTGAAGAAGTAGAAACATCAATTTTTCAATTGGGGCCAAATCAAGATAAATTTTTATTGCCCGATCAAACAATTCGAAATGACAAGAGAATTCTTAATTCTGTTACAAATTTTAATAATTCTGAAATTGATTGGAAGAATGATTCACTGATGGTAAATGCAATTAACAAAATGGATGAAGGCAATGGCAATTTTGATAATTCTTTAAAGAATGCTCTTCTAAAAAATATTGATAAATCCTTTATTTCACAGCATTTAGTTAATAAGACCTTGCTAACAGAAGTTGTGTTTAAAGAGTACGGACCTTTCTTTGGCTTGCCTATGAAAGTGAATGAACTAATACAACATTTCAAAGGAATTGAAAAGCTGTATGGTATGTTCTATTTATAATTTTTGCTTTTAAATGAAATTTACGGATAAGGGAAAATGTTTACCGAACATAGAAATAGCGCCTTTTTTATCGGCATTTTTTCCTTTTATCTCGACTGGCGAAAATGAATGTGATGAATCATAAAACATGTTTTATCTGAAGATATCACCTGCTTTTCTAAAATCTATTATGAACACACCAAACCCACAAGATCTTTTTAAATAAAAAAGAAACATCTCTAAAAAGTTTTAAATTACGTTTATTGGACTTATATTACTTTATTATTAAACGAAGGGATGACTGAATGCATTGGGAAAATTTTTCTTATATCACACTTATTACCATCTAGCAAGTACGAGTTAGTGATAGCAGTAAATGAAATGGAAGCAGTATTGAGAAAATAGTATTGTATGAAAATAAATAAAAGTAAAAAAAATACTGGTATGCAAGGGAAGAAGAAAAGTAAGGAAAGAGCGAATATAAAGATAAGAGATAAAAAATTAGAACTAGCTTATTTTCGATATTTCGGAAGTTAGATAAGTCGGGATGGAATGTCGAGATATAAAACAAAGGATAGTGCATAGTCGAGTCGCTTTCAACAAAAAAATGCACTTATATGCTCGCGAACAGTTAATTTAGAAATTCGAAAAATATTGTTAAAGGTGTTATGTTTTGGAGCGGGAGCTGTACGGGTGCGAAACGTAGACGGTGATTGAGGCGGAAAAGAAAAGGTTAGAAGCGTTCCAAATGTGTTACAAGTGAATGATGAGTATACCATGGACAGAGAAGGTTAAAAATGAAGAGGTGTTAGAAAGAGTAGGAGAACAGAGAACTCTACGGAAATAAGTAAGAAATAGATGAGATAGCTTGGTAGGATCCCTTCTCAGGCATAAAGGGCTAGTTAGAGACATAGTAGAAGCAGAAACAATAGTTAAGAGCAATAGAGGTAGACTTAGGTTAGATTACTGTTCATAAACAGTTAAGGATATGGGTAATTGTAGTTTTAGGGAAATGCGATGATTAGCTCAGGATAGGAAATAGCAGAGGACTGATGACCTTATTGATGATGAACTCACGTCGTATTTTTTCAAACGATAATTCCGTCTTTGATGATCCCATTTAATATTTAGAATATTAATATGTTTTGGAATTTAAAATTTAGAATATTAATATGTTCGGTTCACAATTCGCCTTTACTGTGTAATTTGTATTTGATAATGACTTTTTAGATTGGCAGGAGGAATGTTTAAATCTACCGGCTATAAAAAATCGCTCTAATTTAGTGTATGCTTTACCTACTAGTGNTTTTTTTTTTTTGGTTACAGGAGGTATTTAATTTGAAAAAAATGACTAAATACTGTGTTATTGTGTTTTGATTAGGACAATGTAAAAATACACTACTAAAAATTATCCCAAAAATTGAGTATTTTAAAAATAAAAAGAAAATATTTAAAAAGGTAACGTTTGATAGAATTTTGATTGCTGTTGGTATTCAGTTAAAATAACCTTAATTTCACAAATACCAACATATTTTATAAGTACAATGAACTATTCTTGTTATTTGCAGTGTATAAAAGTGTGAGAAAATTTTGTTTACAAAGGAACATTCCGATTCCAACAATCTCCGAGACCCTCATCTGTTTCGATAAGGATCGGTCAAGTCAACATTCTCTACTTTTCTTAAAAACTGTAAGAATATTTTGCAACTGCAAAAACTGCACAATGATGAGAATTTGGCGCCCCATTGAACGTGCCGCCCGTGTGCGATGCACGCCATGCAAGCCCGCTTGCGGCGAGCCTGGATGTACTGCTAGTATGTATCTAATTAGAATGGGATCAATTAATGCATTCAAATTTACCTCGAGAGATTTGCCTGTGTGCTGCGAAAGAGTTACTAAATTAATCAAAGTATCAGGATTGTTAGAATCCTTGTCCAGGGCTTCTTGTAAAGCCGATTCAGCCTCTTCATACTTTAACTGTGCTATAAATGTTACTGCTTGTCCATTTAAAAGTAAAGGAGTAGAACCATATTTGTCCACTAGTTCCTGATAAATGTAATAAGCTTCCTGCAACTTTTCACCTCCCTAAAAAATATTTTTTAGCTGTTATTGCAGGAAAAACATTACTATTAATAAATATTATACTTACCACTGCAATGTTCACCCAGGCTTGGGTTAATTGCGTCAAAGTGGCATCATCATCTTTATCTTGCATTTCTTTTAATTTCTTTTTTGCAATATCTACTCTGTTTAGTTTCAGTAGTATATCAATAATGAATGCTAATGCTTCAAGACTATCAGAGCTATGCAACACTCGGTAAGCTAATTCCAAATTGTCTTCTTGTTCATATATAGTAGCAGCTACTAAAACAAGTGTATCATTGCCAGCTACTGATCCTTCCGACAGTTTTTGTTCTAACTGCTTAAGGACACCCTCTTTCTTTGATTTATTTGAGAGATACTCTGCTAATATCTTAAGCGATTGTATACTTGGTGGAGATGAACTACTTATTTCATCGAGTACCACTAAAAATTTGCTTTGTGCCATATATGCCCTATACATGTAAATGTCTCTTTCAATAGCAATATCAGGGGAAGTTGGCTAAAGTACAAATAACTGCAATGAGCAAGTAGTAAGTCTATAAACAAAACCTCACCTTTCTTAATTTCTGGGCCTCATTTATACATTGCTGATAATTTCCAATGTAAAAATAGTTTCTAATTTCGAACAGTTCGTCCGTTTCTTGTTGTTGTCTTGACATCCTGAACTGTATTGAAATTATTCAGAATAGAAAACTTGCAGCTGACGTGTAACGATTTTTGTAGGTACACAACTATCTATGTACACAACTATTGACAACTGTATGCAGCTGTGGTATCATAGATAATAGATACACAAAGGGTAAGATCCTTATTAAGACATCACCATAGACAAAATCATAACTACTCATAATATTTGTAGGTTATAATTGACAGTATATATTTCTTTAATCTATGATTTGTACTGCTAGCGGCATGCTAGCGGTAACAAGACCCTACTACCCTTTGTGTATCTATTATCTATGCTACTAGGGCAGACTAGGCCCACAGTCAGGATATGAAATGTCGAGCGTCGGCGACACCTAAGTTTACCCCACGTAAGTTTTTTTAAATTACAAAAAATCGGCATTACCGACATACTAGGCGACATACATTTTAGTGAAACGACAACAGATGATGCGCCGGCGGTTGCAATTACTGGCGGAATTCCCTACTAGTTATAGCGTATACTGAGTAATAGTAGTTTCATAACTTATTTTTAAAATTTTTGTGAGAAGTACTTTTACCTATCCTGAAAGTAAGTAATGTATTAAGTACTTCAATCATGCTTTACAATAAGTAATTATTTTCTGAAATAGTTCTGGTTAGAAAGGAAAGAGTATTTTCTGTCCCCATTAAAAGATGAAAAAGTACTGTATCCACTGAAAACATATGGGGGAAAAAGCAGAATTGTTTCAACTACAGGTAGTTCTGCAGATAACAGTTTCAAATATCCAAAACATATAAAATTATTTGTTATAGAAAGTACCCTCACAATGGACAATACAATATTTTTGCAGTTTCTGAAACGTTAGCACCCCTTGTAGAAGCAGGAAGCAGTACTAAATTAGGTAAAGAACAATTTCTTTGTTCATACAAATATACCTGTCTTCATCATCATCATCATCATCATGAGGTCGTCAGTCCTAAGACTGGTTGGACACGTACCTCCACTATTTCCTATCCTGAGCTAAACTTCGCATTTCCCTAAAACTAGAACAGCCCATATCCTTAACTATTTGCGAACAGTAATCTAATCTAGGTCTACCTTTACCCCTCCTAACTCCTGTTTCTGCCTCTAATATGTCTCTGACTAGCCCTTCATGCCTAAGAAGGTGTCCTGCCAACCTATCTCGCCTATTTTTTATTGACTTCCATAGAGTTCTCTGTTCTCCTATTCTTTGCAATACCTCTTCATTTCTAATCTTTTCTACCCACGTTATCCTCATCATCCGCCTATAACACCACATTTCGAAAGCTTCTAACCTTTTCTTTTCCACTGCACCTATTGTCCATGTTTCGCACCCGTACAGCGCCGTGCTCCAAACATACAGCTTTAAAAACCTTTTTCGGATTTCTAAATTAACCGTTCGCGAGCATAGAAGTGACCTTTTTTTATTAAAGGCGACACGACCCTGCGCTATCCTCTAATTTATATCCCTATACTACTCCTTCCATCCTTACTTATCTGACTTCCTAGGTATCTAAAATCCGCCACTTCTTCTAATTATTCGTTTCCTATCTTTATATTCGCTCTTTCCCTACTTTTTCTTCCCTTGCATACCAGTATTTTAGTTTTACTTTTATTTATTTTCGTACAGTACTGATCTGTCAGTACCACTTCCATTTTATTTAAAGCTATCTGTAGATCCTCCTTGCTAGATGCTAATACTGCTATATCATCTGCAAATCTAAGCATACTAATCTTTTGCCCTTGCTCATCTATCCCTACAGTTAAAAAGTAGCGGTGACATTGTGCATCCCTGTCTGACTCCCTTCCTAATATTTACTTCTCTACGTTGCATCACCAGCTCTATAACTGCCTGTTGCTCTTTATGCAAACTAAGTATCACTCTTCTATCTTTGTAACTCATCCCTATATTTTTAAGTATATTTAACATCTTGTCCCATTTAACATTGTCAAAAGCTTTCTCTAAATCTACAAATCCTATGTACGCACACTTTCCCTTTTCTATCGTTTTCTCTATTGTTACCCGTAAAGCTAGAATGGCCTCCCGCGTTCCTCTATTTCTTCGAAACCCAAATTGATCTTCGCGTAATAGTTCTTCCGCCCTTTTTTCCATCCTCTTCTGTACAATTCTAGTTGAGATTTTTGACGCATGGGAAGTTAAGCTAATTGTTCGAAATGTCTCGCACCTATCCGTGCCCCTCTTTTTAGGTAATGTTACTATTACGTTCCGTTTATAATCCTCTGGCATTTTCCCCGTTTCGTAAATGTGACTAACTAGCTTAAACATACGATGTCTAACCTCTTGTCCTGCATGTTTTAGAATTTCCCCATGTATCCCAGGGTTTCCTACTTTCGTTTTGTTTAAGACCTAGTATATCTGTAGCTGCTGACTTTAGGCACGTTTTAATGCAGTTCCATTCTGTCTCTATGTCCCCGTCATTCGTTTCTCCAGCCTCCTTTAGTATTTCGTCTGTCTTTTTACCAAGCCTATCACGCGCTTCGTTACATTTTAGCTTTTCTAAGTCGAGACGTCTCCTACCTTCCCTCTTTTTCAGAATTTTGAATTTAAGATTGGTCTTCATAAATACTAAGTTATGATCGCTATCTATATCTGCTCCTGGATAACTCCTACAGTCCTTCACTTTATTTTTAAATCTTTGCCTAACAAGTATGTAATCTAACTGATATCTCCCTAAATTACCTGGCATCTTCCACGTATAGCGCCTCCTAACGTGATGATTGAATAAAGTATTCGCGACGGTTAAGTTATGTTTATCGCAAAATTCTATCAGCCTGTCTCCCCTATCATTCATATTGCCTAATACAAAAGAACCTGCTATTGCCTCCACTACCTTCACCTATTACTGCGTTGAAATCTCCTAAAACTATTAGGTTTTCCTGTCCTTTCACTAAACTTAACACGTCTTCTATATCTGCATAAACTGCTTCTACATCTTCATCACTGTAAGATGATGTAGGCATGTAGACCTGCACTAATACCGTTCTTACCGGCTTTGAGTTTAATTTAACCATAGCTATCCTATCGCTTTTTTGTAAATAACTTTCTACACTCTGCCCTACTTTCCTACGCATTACAATTCCTACCCCCGAATTACCTTCTACAGATCCTGTATGTATTACTTTAAAGTTCCCACTCCAGAAGTCTCCAGCTTCGGGCCAACGGACTTCACTAATACCTACTATATCTAATTCTAATCTATCCATCTCTATTTTTAAATTTTCTAATTTCCCTACCTGCCTCATTGACCTAAAATTCCACGCTCCGACTCGTGAAACATTGCACCTATCCCTATTGCACTTATTGATGACATCCCCCGAGGTAGTCCCCGCCCGGACATCCGAATGGGGGACTAGTTTACGTCCGGAGTGCTTTACCCCAGAGGACGCCATCATTTACTTGTGTGACACGTTCTTCTCGGGATCATAATGTGGTGGTCCATTATGGTTGAACCTATGGTCCGGCTCCCTAAATAATTGAAACTCGCAAGCCGATCCACCCACTCTAGTTTGTACAAGAGTTTCGTCAAGGTTCAAGTCACGTCGGATCGGATACCTGTCTTAGTATCTATTATTTTAATTAATGGATGTTTTGCTATTTACTCGTATATTATGCGAATTGTATTTATTACTGTATTTACATTTTGTTATTAAATTTGTTAATATTATTTTTGTCTTTTTTTAATTTCCAATTAAAACAAAAAAAAATAAAATTTGGTGTAATTTTGAAATGCGCGCCTTAAGTTACGTTTCATAGTTATATGTATAGATGGCAGTGAATATTCGAAGTTTTCTTTGCTACCATTTATATATATATATTCCAAGTATGGTCTACTAATGTAGTGTATACTTAGATGTCATTAGTNGTAAATAACAATTTCTTTGTTCATACAAAGATACCTGTCTTAGTATCTATTATTTTAATTAATTGATGTTTTGCTATTTACTCGTATATTGTGCTAATTGTATTTATTACTGCATTCACACTTTGTTATTAAATTTGTTAATATTATTTTTTTTTTTTTCAAATTCCAATTCAAACAAAAAAAAATTAAAATTTGGTGTAATTTTGAAATGCGCGCCTTAAGTTACGTTTCATAGTTATATGTATAGATGGCAGTGAATATTCGAAGTTTTCTTTGCTACCATTTATATATATATATTCCAAGTATGGTCTACTAATGTAGTGTATACTTAGATGTCATTAGTATCGTCAAAATCTCACGAGTTTTACATCTATTTCCTAGTCTAGGGCCACAGTAGGACATATGTAATTATCACAGTAATTATGGGTAATAGACTAAGGTTGGGTAATTGAAATTGGAATGAAAGGCTTAAATTTCTTCTTTTATTGTAGCTTAAACATAGTTACGTTACATTTAGTTATTATAATTAATGCACTAGTAAAATATTAATACTTTAAAAACTCTTAAAGCAAGCAATAATTTAAATGTAAATATTTTCTTTATTTTCCGAAGAAATCTCGAGAGGAATTGCTAATAATGAATCACCAGAGACTGTCGTATCTTCCTGTTCTTCATTAACTTGTGAAAATTTTAATTGCCTAAAAGGTTCCCTTACTTCCTCTAATGGTAAAACGTCATTTGCATGATCAGATAAAGACACCAGTTTTGTGTAAAGCTCCTTTAAGTCACTACTGGTTGAAATAGTTTTTTCAAGTAAATAACTGCAATTGGAATAGCTCTCTTTTAATTGATGTTCATTCAGGGGTTTAAATTTCAACCTTAGCTGATTAATATGGTCAGTAAAGGCATCAACTAGATCCTTAAATACCAAAATATCAGGTTTACTTAGAAACTTGCAGGTTTCTGTGGGAATTGTGAATTTCTCTTTATTATATTCTAATATATTGTTCTCATTATTTAAGTAATGTGCTAAATGCATACAGTTCTTAAACTGGTTATGCACTTCTAATATTTTGTCCAATTTTTCTTTAATAATGTTTATTTCATCATTAAATCCACTTTCAATGGTAAAAGAAGGTAAATCAGTTTTAATTTCTTCTTTTATTGTGTTGCATTTTTTTTTCAATTCAGAAATAGCTACATCAATTTCTTTTACCTTGAAAATTATTTTGCTAGCTTCTTCTTTAGCAAGCTGTACAACCTTCTCAAATTCATCCATTTTCCCTTGAGTATTTTGATTAATCTTCAGCGTAAGGGTATTTAAATTTTGTATTCTCTCCCTGGTAACAGCTGCATCTTTAGATGGTCTTATTGATAAAATAAGGCTTTCATTAATTGTAGGATCACGTTTCAAATGTTCTAGCAACACAAATTCTGACACTCTTAGCATAAATTTTACAAATTTAAATCCTCCTGGCGAAATTAAATGGGAAGGCATAATTTGAGGAATGTTTGAGTCTTCATAAGTAAGACTTATTTCGTTTAAATATTTCATTATTTCATTTCTAAACTGTGATTCCATTTTCACTTCGAAAATTGGCCATGCAGAAACTTTTTCTTTTATTTTAATTGGATCTAGAATGGATAACAAGTAATGAATAACGTGATGAAAGGCGGTTTTGTTATTTTTTAGGAACATATCCTTTTTAAACACCGATTTCAATGCATCAGAAGGTGGATATGTCAATGTTAATAAGTATATATTATTGTAAAGTTGTTGATGTAACTTCATTTCTAATTCTCTTTGTATTTGTAAAGACATTTTTTCTTAAGTACTTTGTAATTAATATTGGATTAACGTTTTCGACAATAGTTTCAATTTGAGGTTAACTGTTTAAATATATACCATAGATACATACTCTACATTTTCATTGGTTAGTTTTATTAATGTTTTGTCAACGTTGCCATGTAGAAATTTTTAAATTTTTTATTGGTTATAACAATTATATTTTTATAAATACAAAAAATATTAAGGTGGACTAAATCACGACTAATAAAACTTACCTAAGTAGAATAATTACAAAAATCAATGTTGCTAATTGTTTTCAATATCATATTAATGATTACCGTAATATATGGCAACGTTCAGTAATAAAATTCAAATTCGTTTAACCCATAGATAATGTTATTATGTTTAACCTTACTTTTCAATTTATTTTCTTCTGTTATTTGTAGATCGTAAATCAAAAAAGTTAGTTGAATTCCATTTTAATTTATTCTAATAGTTAAACAACAGTTTAGATGTTTTCGATTGAATAGGAAAATGAGTGATGAAGAAGATTTTATTTGCAAGTGTACGGCAATGCCAAAACTAACAAGCTTTATTGTGAAGAATAATAGTGAGAATAAAAGCGAATTTGGGAAAGGTAAAACAATTGCCCAGTTTTATTTATTGCAGATTTTATTGATTTTATTTACAGGAAAATATACGAAGATAAATGTCTCCTCTAAAATGCCTAAAATTAATGCAACAGGTAGTACAGAATCTATGACAAATAAGCACCACATACCACCAAACATAGAACAAACCAAGAATATTTCTAATGATAATGGAAATACGACAAATTGCTGTTCCAATAAATCAGAACAAAGTTACACTGATGGAAATACAAAATGGACCAATCATTCTTTAAATAAAGTCGATAGTTTAGCTGATAAAAGTAGTACAAATTTAAAGGAAATTGATAAAGACCTTTTTGAACAGTCTCAGAATGATTCTTTTATTGATTTATGCAACTCTACGCAATTCCTAGAACAAATCGATAAATGTGTATTAAATAGTGGTTTAATGACTCAAAATGTAATTTCAAAACCTGCAGTCACTTCTATTAGTCAGATCAACCCTCCTGCTGTAGATAAAGATGCAAATAGAAATAAAAGAAAAAGTTTTGAAAAGGAAGAGAATGTAAGTAAAGTTTTGAAGAGGAATAATGAAACTATCAGAAGTTCAAACAAAACTAATGACGATATTTGGAATGAAACCGTTGATTTCCGTGTGACGCAGTTATTTAAAAATTCCCAATATCAAACTCAAATAGCTTCATTATTTGAAGAAGTAGAAACATCAATTTTTCAATTGGGGCCAAATCAAGATAAATTTTTATTGCCCGATCAAACAATTCGAAATGACAAGAGAATTCTTAATTCTGTTACAAATTTTAATAATTCTGAAATTGATTGGAAGAATGATTCACTGATGGTAAATGCAATTAACAAAATGGATGAAGGCAATGGCAATTTTGATAATTCTTTAAAGAATGCTCTTCTAAAAAATATTGATAAATCCTTTATTTCACAGCATTTAGTTAATAAGACCTTGCTAACAGAAGTTGTGTTTAAAGAGTACGGACCTTTCTTTGGCTTGCCTATGAAAGTGAATGAACTAATACAACATTTCAAAGGAATTGAAAAGCTGTATGGTATGTTCTATTTATAATTTTTGCTTTTAAATGAAATTTACGGATAAGGGAAAATGTTTACCGAACATAGAAATAGCGCCTTTTTTATCGGCATTTTTTCCTTTTATCTCGACTGGCGAAAATGAATGTGATGAATCATAAAACATGTTTTATCTGAAGATATCACCTGCTTTTCTAAAATCTATTATGAACACACCAAACCCACAAGATCTTTTTAAATAAAAAAGAAACATCTCTAAAAAGTTTTAAATTACGTTTATTGGACTTATATTACTTTATTATTAAACGAAGGGATGACTGAATGCATTGGGAAAATTTTTCTTATATCACACTTATTACCATCTAGCAAGTACGAGTTAGTGATAGCAGTAAATGAAATGGAAGCAGTATTGAGAAAATAGTATTGTATGAAAATAAATAAAAGTAAAAAAAATACTGGTATGCAAGGGAAGAAGAAAAGTAAGGAAAGAGCGAATATAAAGATAAGAGATAAAAAATTAGAACTAGCTTATTTTCGATATTTCGGAAGTTAGATAAGTCGGGATGGAATGTCGAGATATAAAACAAAGGATAGTGCATAGTCGAGTCGCTTTCAACAAAAAAATGCACTTATATGCTCGCGAACAGTTAATTTAGAAATTCGAAAAATATTGTTAAAGGTGTTATGTTTTGGAGCGGGAGCTGTACGGGTGCGAAACGTAGACGGTGATTGAGGCGGAAAAGAAAAGGTTAGAAGCGTTCCAAATGTGTTACAAGTGAATGATGAGTATACCATGGACAGAGAAGGTTAAAAATGAAGAGGTGTTAGAAAGAGTAGGAGAACAGAGAACTCTACGGAAATAAGTAAGAAATAGATGAGATAGCTTGGTAGGATCCCTTCTCAGGCATAAAGGGCTAGTTAGAGACATAGTAGAAGCAGAAACAATAGTTAAGAGCAATAGAGGTAGACTTAGGTTAGATTACTGTTCATAAACAGTTAAGGATATGGGTAATTGTAGTTTTAGGGAAATGCGATGATTAGCTCAGGATAGGAAATAGCAGAGGACTGATGACCTTATTGATGATGAACTCACGTCGTATTTTTTCAAACGATAATTCCGTCTTTGATGATCCCATTTAATATTTAGAATATTAATATGTTTTGGAATTTAAAATTTAGAATATTAATATGTTCGGTTCACAATTCGCCTTTACTGTGTAATTTGTATTTGATAATGACTTTTTAGATTGGCAGGAGGAATGTTTAAATCTACCGGCTATAAAAAATCGCTCTAATTTAGTGTATGCTTTACCTACTAGTGGAGGGAAAACACTCGTTGCTGAAATTCTTATGTTACGAGAAATAATCTGTCGTAGAAAAAATGTTATATTCGTTTTGCCTTACGTTGCAATTGTTCAAGAGAAAGTAAATTTGAATTTTTCATTAAATTTAGTTTTAATAGCTCTTATTTTTTAATAGGTTTGGGCATTATCGCCGTTTGCTGTAGCTCTTGATTTCTTAATTGAAGAATATGCTGCGGGTAAAGGCACATATCCACCAAAGAAAAGAAGATATAAGAATTCAGTTTATATTGCTACTATAGAAAAAGCTTTAGGGCTTATTAATAGTTTAATGGAAAAGGGACGCTTAGATGAAGTAGGACTTGTAGTTGTTGATGAGCTTCATTTAGTTGGAGAACCAGGACGAGGACCTACTCTCGAAACGTTTCTGACCAAAATTATATACATGAATGAAATGAAATATACAGGTAAAGAGGTTGTTTTTTTTTTGGGCCAAGAGTGAACACAAATGACATTCGTGACAAACAGCGTCGTCGTCAGTATTGCATTTTTACTTTAACAATAATGACTAATTCCTTTTTGTCAGCACTCAATGATTGAGATAGAAAGTGTCATTTAGCTATCTTCTTGTGGTTTCAGATGGCATTCAAATTGTTGGTATGAGTGCAACCATAGGAAATTTATCTGATATTTGTACATTCTTAAAAGCCGATGTATATAAAAAAGATTTCCGACCAGTAGAACTCATTGAATATGTTAAAATTGGTAATGAAATTGCCAGAATTCACTGGGATAAGCCAAATAATGAAATGTTTCAAATCGTGAGGAAAGAGGACTTTTCTGTAAGCAATACCTTTATTTTAAAAAATGGATTCTTGAAACAAATCCTTTTAAGTACTCTGAAGTTCTAAAGAAGATTGACCCTGATAGACTTGGAGGTCTTGTTATGGAAGTAGTACCACGGGATTCCTGCCTGATATTCTGTTCATCAAAGAAAAGTTGCCAAAACGTAGCTCATTTATTATGCAAAGTAGTTTTTCCGTAAGTTTAAATTAAATTAATTTACTTCTGCTATAAGTATAATTTTTGGAAGAACTCTAAGAGAACATAAGAAAAAGGAGAAAGAAGATCTTATAACTGCTTTAAAAAACGAAGGAAACAATAATATTTGTGAAATTCTGAATGTTAGTATTAAGTTTGGAATTGCTTATCACCACTCTGGTCTGTTATCGGAAGAACGACGCCTTCTAGAAGATGCTTTTAGAGAGGGCGTTATTTGTGTTATTTGCTGCACTTCTACTTTAGCTGCAGGTGTAAATTTACCAGCAAAACGAGTAAGTTACCTTTCTTTAATACCACTATTTTATTCTCCGTTTGTTTCCTTTAGTCTGTAGGTACTTTTTACTTACATACTGAATCATTAGGGGAAAAATTAATTTATTTCTTAAAACAATACTGTCGTCTTTCGCCTTTAAATGTAAATGTTTTATCAACGTAGATTTTCTCGCTCAAAATAAATTATTGACCCAAAAATTTACTTTTATAAAGTCTTTACACCCAAACGTGAAACATCGATATTGATGGAGGAAATAAGCTTTATTTTGTCTTTTTATCGACTATAATTATTTTCTTAAATTGTCAACTGTTCATATTCTTCCTTTTTTATTTCTCTTCAAAATCTCATTAAAAATATTTCATTTAGGTCATTCTGAGGCAGCCATATGTTGGTAGGGAATTTATAAACTTATCCCGATATAAGCAAATGGTTGGTCGTGCTGGAAGGGCCGGATTCGGGGAAGTGGGAGAAAGTATACTTATCTGTACAAAGGAAGATGTACCTAAAGTTAGGGAATTGTTACAATCACCAATGGACAAAGCTTTGTCAAGCTTGCATGCTTCTGAAGGAAAGGGGCTAAGGTACATACCGGGTTAACAGAAATAAGTGCGGAGCTTTGGGGCTGTAAACTACATGCAAAAGGGAAGAATTCGGCAATGGTTAAGGGCAAAAAAATAAAAAAAAAAAACAATTTGCAATTCGAAGCCTGTCCGTTGACTTAGCAATGTAGATGTGCACAAATAGCAAACTGGGATTAAAACCCTCCAACTACATCAATGGAGAATGTAAATATTGGCAGTTATCGAATGTTTAAGATAAACAAATAATTAGCTGCAACATATAATGTTTGGACTTCTTATTACGATAAAAATGTATTAAATTTGTGTATTGTTGATAGCATACAGCAATGTGTAAATTACACCTCAACATGTACCCATTAAAAACACAAAAGAAACAAAAATGTAGGTCATGTAAACATTAGTAGGTAAATTAGATTATTTAGATAACTAATTTTATTAGGACAATTTTTCATAACACCAGCGAGGTATTGCAGTATTTTTTTTTTATTTGTGGTTTGCCAATAAACCTATCGTTCAACTAGGACTTCTTTATTAATTATTACTGATTATTGCATGTAAGTAAGCTTACGCTTATTTATTTGATTAGTGATTGGCGGCTAAAAATCAATTTCAAGCAGGACTTGCACTTGTTGCAAATGATAAGGGGCAGCAACTGTTCTTTTAAAATTTGCCACACTATCACATGAGAGGAGGGAATGCTTCTTGCTATTTCGCGTGTTTATTTTTGGGGTTGTCTACTATGAAATCAAGCATTTTGTCCTCTACAGCGGCGATATGGTTCAAACCCGTAAATAAGTATGTCACATCATTGTTACACAACAACTGTTCTACGGTAATATACTGACCTGTTCTAATGTTGTATTGTTGAGTTAGCTTTTTGAACTGTATATCGATTTACTAAATGGATGGTTTAAACGTTAAATGAATAAACAACCGGATGTAAGATAAACGTCTTGAATTAGAAGAAAAAAAAAATACATCATCCTGCCAATTACCAGTTGATAGAACATGACGTTGCGTTGTCGTATTTCATTACTATGGCCGGAATTAATTTTATATACAAACATAAACATAATTTTCTTACTTTATAGTAGGTACCCTGTCACCTACTACAAGTCCCGCACTTATTTCTGTTACACCATGTATAGGAAACGTTTTGAATGTGATGTAACATGTAACGTAATTATGATTACATTCACTCTACTTCTTTAAAAGTCAAAACCGATGTAAGCTACTATTCTTAGTTTATATCGTATAGTCTAGTGATCATAAGGTTTTTGGTTAAGTGACCTGTCAGACGTGGATCACAATTTTGAACAGATTATCAATCATCATGCCCGCTGTTATTTAGCGTTCAATGAATAATTACAGATGACGTGATGAGCGTCATCGGTAAAAAATTTTCCACTAGTTTTACTCAATAATGTTTAATTAATTGAAAAGGACTTTATCAAACATTAAACATTATTCAATCCTTCACTTAGTGTCAAATGGTGTTCACTATACCGTCTGCAATTATTCATTGAACTTTGTTTAGTGACAGCAGGTAGTTTGGTCGCAAGAAGACTAGAGATATGACTTGAAACTAGTAGGATTGCTTTATAAACGACGCGACCCTTAAGATCGTATAAACTGTGCTCTGTCGTTTCACCGAAATTGATGCATACTCACCCATCGCACAGCGATTCTGTTATTGCCTTTTCTTCCTTTTATTTTTTTCATAAAGCTTTACACTTTTCGGATTAAGTTTTTGCCCTTATTCCTAGTCTTCTTAAAATTAAAATTAGAAGGGCTTACTCTAATTAACGTGTTTTGCTCCTTTACTTACGTATTTGCGTTCATTAAAAATGTAGGTAATTAATTATTTATTAGTTTAATCCCTTTTGTTTTAATTATTTCCATTGCCACAATCTCGTTTTTTTATTTCTCCAGTTTTCTTGGTTGATCGGTGATCTGTTGGGAATTGTGTACAACGCGGCGATCTGATGAGAATCAATTAGTTCGAAGAAATCATATCTGACAGTTTCCACAGATCAGTTAGCCAAGAAATTTATATTCTGTTAGGTGTACGTACCGAGCACGTAGACTGCGACGTGAGTTTGACAAGTTGATATCCTTAATTGAAATAGCCAACATTATTGAATTCTACTATTAATGATAATGGCGTAGTGAAAGCCATCTGTAATTATTTATATTAGAAACGAACTGTTGCCATTATTTTTTGGATTGGTCCGTACAGACTATGTCCATAACGTAAACGAAATCTTTCAAAATAAGTAATTACTCATATTTTTGCCTTCTTTGATAGACATTTATTTCTAAGCTGCGTTGGATTAGGTACAGCTACCAATAGAAGCCAGTTGCAGCAAGTAGCAAGTAAGAGTCTTCTAGCTGTACAACAAGATAAGCTCAATGTAAATATGAAGAATTTAACCGACAACGCTATTTGTAGTCTTTTTAAATTAGGCGCATTGCAAACCAATGCTCAGAAACAATCCTCTTCTACTTCAACTTCATCATCTCATATTAGTTTAAGGATGGAGGTAACACACTTAAACTGTGCTCACTTTTCTATAATTTTTGAAATTATGTATTGTTTTTAATATTAGACATCGACTATCGTGAACGAATCAAAAAATAAAAATACATTGGAAACCCATTCTCAGAAGAAACCTACAATCACTCTGACGAATAATACTAAACTAATTATAAGTGAACTGGGGAAAGCAGCAATCAAAGGTATGTTTTCTTAAAAACAGGTGCAGTCAGTAAGACTGATGGTTGATTAAGGTTGTTGCCTCTATTTGCTTATTGCTTAGCCCAGTTAGCAGATGTTGTTTAATCGAATTTTTAAATCAGAAATCACCTAAATTAACCTATTTAGTTGTTGAAATGTCAGTATTCGGCCATAGAATCCATATATCCATATATATTGTACCAATGAAACGAATTGATGATAATATAATTACTTTAATATAATCTTGAAAGTGGATTATACAATTTAAAATGATTAGTCGACATTTTAGGTATAATAAATTATAATACTATAATAATAATCTAAGCCTACCTTATTAGATAATAAGGGGTACCTAGAAATGGCATGGAACTATCACGGTGAGTGAAGACGGTGAGCCGTGCATCTCTCGATTTCTTGACTTGACTATGATTGATTGTAATTATTGATTTCGCTATTTAAACGGTTGCTAATTGACCTACTAACATAGTAGGTTAGTAAGTGTTAACATGCAGTTTTAAATAATTAATTTAAATGTACCAACTTTGTACTTAATAAGAATTTATGGATACTATGTAACAATATAAGAAGTGGTAGGTTGTGACTATTACTAGACGCCCAACAACGGAATCATTAGGGTACTTTAAGAAGGGGTATCATGCTTAAAATATAATCTTCGAAAACGGTACCATCCAAACAAATCTAGACGACTTACATATTTATACTACTATAGTTGTTTAAATAAATACGTAATTACTACGCAGGGTGATTCTGAAATAAGTAGTAAGCCTGCAAGAGGTGATAGGCTATCATAGCATCCGTGTTGTATTTCTTTTGTATTTTTGTACTCATGTATTGTTATTAGGATTAAGTGTGATTGACGATGTTTATGTTTGCAACCAGCCTGGATTGGTTCTTTGTTCTTTTAACGTTATAAGCTTGTATTACGTATGTATGTAGACAGTCGAAGTCATTAGAAGTAGGTCAATGAGTCCGTGTCATAGGTCAGTACAGAGTATAAAGGAATAACCTACCCATCAAAAATTTAAAGAAGTAGCAAGAGCACAGTTAAAAAATTAAAACAGTTAAAGAGTTTTTTTCATTATATATTTACTCTATGAACCGGAACAGGGGATAGAGGAAAGTCTAGATTAGATTAATGTTCGAAAATATTTAGGGATATAGAATGTTTCAGTTTTAAGAAAATGCAAAGATTCGCTCAGAATAGGAAGGATGTGTTTGTTCAATCGGTCTTCGGACTGGGGACTCTATGATTTACCGGCTAAGTAAATGTGTAAATAGATGTATAACTTCTACCGTACGTACATGAGTACACATTCCATTTTTTTTGACCAAATTTCTTTTTTATCTTTCATTTTTTTGTGAATACATTAATAGGCAAGTTTACGTATTAATACAGTTGTATTTTAGGTTGTTTGGAGTTATCAAAAGCTCATCTCCTTTATGCCGATTTGACTCAAGCTCAAGAAAGTCTTGTTCTTTTAGATCACTTACATTTGTTGTACCTCGTTACTCCTTACGACCAATGTGAACAAATTAAACCGTCCAATTCTTTATATTATAATTTGGTGAGCGTTGTACATCTCTTTTTTTGTATGATACTTAAACTCACATTTTTTACTTCTTCTAGTTAATGAGACTAGGAAAAAGTGAAAAGAAAACCGCAAAAGTTCTGGGAATTACCGAATCTTGTACTACGAAGTTGTTTACAAATCAGCAGATAAAGGTAAGAAATATCCATTCCAAAAAAAAGTGATATCTACTATTGAAAATATTGAAATGAAACGCTTACTTTAATTTTTATTAAGGTAGGTACTGATTGTACAGTCCAATGACCTAGAAAATTAATTTGGTAAACTATTCGGTGCAGGACGACCGTCAGTAGGTTGTTTTGTCCCAAAAATGCACGTACTACCTGTTGTTGGTCTTGATAAAAATTATCGTGTTGAGCATTTTATTTTAAATTGCTATTGTTATTACTTGATATTTCTTTTTTTAGACTGTATCAGAGAACGTTTTGACTAGATTTTACGTTTCACTAATGTTGTATGATTTATGGAATGGTATGCCAGTATTTGACGTATCTGAGAAATACCAGGTAAAATACACTACATATTTATCTATTGCTTTAGTTAAGTTCATTTTATATTACATAATTTTTTCAGATTGATCGTGGATTAATTCAGAGTCTAATGATTTCATCTGCGACATTTGCATCGAATGTCGTTGGTTTTTGTGATGAAATTGAAGAGTTTTGGCCATTTAGACATTTACTTAAAAGTTTAAGTGAAAGGCTGTCTCACTGTTCTATGAAAGAGTTGCTTCCTCTTATGGAACTGCCATCCGTTAAACAGGTAAAGCTAATGTTAGATATTTTTGTTTTGAAATTTCAGTTGATATATTTAACTTCAAGTCTCGAGCCAAGCAACTTTATAATGCGGGCTATAAAACTCTTCAAATTATTGCAAAGTGTGATCCAAATGAACTTGTCAAAAATGTTCAATTTATGTCAAAAAAAGTTGCTAATCAACTTATTGCAGCTGCGAAGGTGTGTTTATATTTCTTATGTTTTTACTTTATGTATTTATTGTTTCATTGTTATTAGATGCTTTTACTGGAAAAGGTGGAGACGTTAAGAGACGAAGCCGAAAATGTTTTAAATGGCGAAGAGCAAACGTTGGATTTATCACTTTTCCATTAGTGTTCCATTAATACCATAAGGTTGTTTAATCATAAGTCAAGAAAACAGTATTGTGAATTTAAGTATAAAAAATATATATTTGACTTTTGTTTTGTGTTATACCAAGATTTTTATTAAGTTTTTTAGAATTTATAAACTATTTTTGTACTTTTTATATTTTTGCAATAAAAATAAGCGTTATTTAACAATGCTATACACATCGATTTTTTTGTGTTCAATATACTAGATATGTACACGTGTGCGCGTCAGTACCTACACCTATCATGTGTACAAAGTTTGATAGATGTTCCTATTACCTGTACATATTTTTCTAAAATCACAGGAAAATATTGACGTATTACTTGTTATAGTACATTAGGGATTACGCACCTAGGACAGCAAAATAAAGATTATCTCAGATCATATATTTATTATTATGTATTCACCGTTTTTGAAAAAAAATACAGTTGATGGTACCGGTAAATTCGATTCCAACCCTGTATATCAATGCGACAACGCAACATTCCTTTTAATCAATTGGTAATGAGCAACATCGGTGTCCTATTTCGTTTGCACTTTGTTATTTGTCAGATTACATTAAGGTACATAATGTTACGGCCTACCTGTAAAAGTTATTTGTCTTTTTAACGTAGTTCGCTCATTCGCTATTGGGTCAATGTGCCACTTATTGTTATGCGTTTAGAACCGCAGAACTTTGTGATATGATCCTAATGTACATGGAATGTGAATACAACATTAATGCAACAATTGAGTTGTACAGCCATTAACATCCTCAGCGAAGATTTCCACACCCGCGAACATACAGAGATTACTAGAAACTGGCAAATGTACACCCTACAGACTTTGCTTCACGCAAGAAAGAATTGGTGCGACGCAAATTCGCATGTCGTACACCCTTCACGATTTCAAGAGCTATTTTTGGTAAATGTGTGGTGTGAAACTTTTAGAGACTTATTTGACATTTTTGGTAAGTTTACAAATTTGTCTTAATAGAATTACAATTATCTAGATGATACTCACTAATATTTACGTAACTTACATTTTTTCATTTTTTATGTGTTTGCTGCATGTAGTGTCATCATTATCATAAGGTCGTCAGTCCTAAGACTGGTTGGACACTCACCTCCATTCTTTCCTATCCTGAGCTAATCTTCGTATTTCCCTAAAACTACACCAGATCTTCATGCCCAAGAAGCTGTGCTATTAACCTATCTCGCCTATTTCTTATCGACTTCCATAAAGTCCTCTGTTCACCTATTATTTCTAATACCTCTTCATTTCTAACCTTCTCTATCCACGGTGTCTTCATCTTTCGCCTGTAACACCACATTTCGAAGGCTTCTAACCTTTTCTTTTTCGCCGCACCTATTGTCCATGTTTCGCACCCGTACAGCGCAGTGCTCCAAACATACACAGCTTTAACAACCTTTTTATAATTTCTATATTAACCGTTCGCGAGCATAGAAGTGACTTTTTTTTATTGACTCGACCCTGCGCTATCCTCTGTTTTATATCCCTACTACTCCATCCGTCCTGACTTATCTGACTTCCTAGATACCTAAAATCGGCCACTTCTTGTAATTTTTCGTCTCCTATCTTTATATTCGCTCATTTCTTACTTTTCCTTCCCCTGCATACCAGTATTTTAGTTTTACTTTTATTCCATTTTATTTAAAGCTATCTCTAGCTCCTCCTTGTTAGATGCCAATACTGCTATATTATCTGCAAACCTAAGCATACTAATCTATATATCTACCCCTGCAGATGTACTAAAAAGTAGCGGTGACAGTGTGCATCTCTGTCTGACTCCCCTCCTAATATTTACTTCCCTACGTTGCAGTCCCATCCCTATAACTGCCTGTTGCTCTTTATAAAACTAAGTATCACTCTTCTATCTTTGTACCTCATCCCCCCATTTTTAAGTATAATTAACATCTTGTCCCATTTAACATTGTCAAAAACTTTTTATAAATCTACAAATCCTATGTACGCCCTCTCTCTATTATTACCCGTAAAGCTAGAGTGGCCTCCCGCGTTCCTCCATTTCTTCTAAACCCAAATTGATCTTCCCCTAATAGTTCTTCCGCCCTTTTTCCAACCTCCTCTATACAATTCTAGTTAAGGTTTTTGAGGCATGGGAAGTTAAGGTAATTGTTCTAAATGTCTCGCACCTATCCGCGCCTCTCTTTTAAGATATGGTTACTATCACCTTTTGTTTACTTTGGAACTTTCCCCGTCTCGTAAATGTGACTAACTAGCTTGAACATACGATCACTAACCTCTTGTCCTGCATGTTTTAGAATTTCCCTCTGTATCCCATCTGCCCCTGGCGCCTTATTATTCTTTAAGATTTTTAATGCTACATCAAACTGTACTCTCATTATCGGATAACCTAGTTCATATATCTCCACACTATCTTCCTTTTCTAAAATATCTGTTAACTCAGGGCCTGCGTGTAGATTTTTGAATATTCTTTCCACCTATCTGCCTTTTCCTCATTTTCTATCAAAATGACCCTCGTTTCTTATATTATTGCTACTGTACCCTCTCTAAAATTCCTTTTAATTATATTAGACGCCTCATCGGTTTTACCTACTTCAAACTTTCCTTCTACTAATTTACACATCCTATCAATTGATTGTTCCTTAGCTACCCTACACTTCCTAATTATTTCCCGCTTTATAGCGTTTGCCCTTTTTAGTCTGTCCTGTTTTTGCATTTCCGCCTTTCTTCTATTAATTCTATTAATTTTACAACTTTCGTTTTGTTTAAGACCTAGTATATCTGTAGCTGCTACCTTTAAGCTCGTTTTAATGCAGTTCCATTCTGTCTCTATCTTCCTGTCATTCGTTTCTCCCTCCGCCTTTAGTATTTTGTCTGTCCTTTTACCTAGCCTATCACGCGTTCTGTTACATTTTAGCTTTTCTAAGTCAAGACGTCTTCTACCTTCCCTCTTTTTCAGAATTTTCAATTTAAGATTGGTCTTCATAACTACTAAGTTATGATCGGTATCTATATCTGTTGCTGGGTAACTCCTACAGTCCTTCACTTGATTTTTAAATCTTTGCCTAACAAGTATGTAATCTAACTGATATCTCCTTAAATCACCTGGCATTTTCCACGAGTAGCGCCTCCTAGCGTGATGGTTGAATAAAGAATTCGCAACGGTTAAATTATGTTTATCGCAAAATTCTATCAGCCTATCTCCCCTATCATTTCTATTGCCTAATCCAAAACAACCTGCTATTGCATACATTTTACCTTCACCTATTACTGCGTTGAAATCTCCTAAAACTATTAGGTTTTTCTGACCATTCGCTAAACATAACACGTCTTCTATATCTGCATAAACCGCTTCTACGTCTTGATCACTGTAAGATGATGTAGGCATGTAGACCTGGCCTTATACCGTTTTTACCGGCTTCGGGTTTGATTTAACCATAACCATCCTATCTCTACTTCTAAATTTTCTAATTTCCGTACTTGCCTCATTGTCCTAACATTCCACGCTCCGACTCGTGAAATATTGCATCTAACTCTATTGCAGTTATTGATGACATCCCCCGAGGTAGTCCCTGTCCGGACATCCGAATGGGGGACTAGTTTACATTCGGAGTGCCTCAGAGGACGCCATTATTTAATTATTAACGTACGTTTTACTCGGTATCATGATGTAATCATGTAGTGTACTTATTTAATTTATTGAGTCTAAACATAATGTGTAATACTAAATTGTTTATGTTTATCTTACTATTAGACGTTCTATAATCTGCAATTATCCATCTTTGTATCGGCAGAGTTTTTGTCACATTAGACACCTATGTTACCAACTCATGTACAGGATCGGCTTCGGTTCTGAAATTATTATGATTTTCTTAAAAGAAATTTTTACTCTTAACGACGCTGTTGAACTCACTGTGCGATTGTTTATTGCATCTAGTTTACACCCTCCAACGCTCGGCACTTACTATTGTTACACAATGAATGTTAGATTTAGTCCTTTTTTAATGGTTACTTACATATATTCAGCTTGGTTTGACTTACCTATGTAGATTTTGTCACAAATTTTAGGTTTTTCATCATTACATTAAATTTATAAATTTTTCATTTATCCCATTTACAGTATGACGATTGGGTACGTGAACGACAAGCACTCCTATTTTAGTTTGAATCAAGTTTCATAACTAAGATAGAAAGAAAACAAATAATTTTTTACGAAAGCAAGTTCGTTGTTTGTTGTTTGAAAAAAAATGCACTATCCAAAGTTTAAGTTTTATGCAAGTTTCATAACCTTGAGAAGCTTTAACAGTCAATTAGGCAAGTTTCCTAATAAATTTGGTATATTTACCACAATATTAAGCAACGTAGATGAAATCAAACTGACCTGAAGGTATAGCCGGCAGAAGTTTAATAAAAAATCACTCTTATTTGCACTCTGATTAATTTAGGTGAAGGTGTAGCAACCGTAATAACAACGGCGGTGTCTCTTATTTCAGTTAAAGGTTTCTGATCTGGGTTTTACGCCACTACCAGCTGTTTATAGCATTTTAAAGCTTTGTCTGTGTAACTGGTGTGTTTATTTCACTATTAATTTACTGTTTGGTTAAGATGAAACTCTCTATTGAAGAACTCTTGGTTAGTAAGGAAGGAGTCCCTGTAAGTGTCGTAGTTTTGTTGTTCTGAGCTGTAATGAAAATAGAGGCACTGGCCCACAGTGGTAGGTCTCTCCCCACCTTATAATAGGAACAATGTTCCATAAAAAGAAGAAACAATATACAATAAACCAGACGATGCCTGAGAAAAAAAGAAAAAGAAAAAGAACAAATATATGAAAACTATTACTCTACGCTCGTGACCTGTGATAAATGATAAATCACTGAGTTCAGACAACAGGTATTTCAACATGTACTACCGATGGTTTTGCAGCAGGTGTATAATCACAGTTACAGTTCCATTTTGAACGACTTCTGTCCTCCCTGGTCAAGACGAACATGTAAGAGTTGCGTATTTTACACAATTCTTTGGAACACGGTCCTGCCAGTTGCGAACTTTGAAACGACGGCCTGTTTATTCTTTCATTTAAAAATAGTCAAAGACAGTGGCTACAATAGCAATATTATTGATAAAATACGACGGCATGTATTTCGAATTGCATATAATTCAAACTTGGACTCTCTTTAAACTCTTCTTGGTAACCCTAAAGATAGAACTCATTTTCTAGAACAACCGGAGACATATGAAATTGATTGTCAAGATTGCAATAAGACATTATTGAACAAACTAAACGCTCTCTACATGTTAGGTTCAAAGAGTATTTGACTTATTTCATGTTCAGTAGAACAACAAAAATCAGTATTGCCTAACATTATAACACTGAAAATTATAGA